TTTCACAAATAATAAACAAGTAAGGGTATTGTTCTCATAAAATCTCTTCTCTCTTTTCTAATTTTATGGACTTTGTAAATGAGTTAGTTGATTCAAATTTGAATTTGAAATCGGAAGTGGATGGAAGTCAAGCTGACTCTTCCATTCCATCTTTTACTGCTGATAAGGGGGCTTTGAAGTTGGACTTAGTAACTTAATTATGGGCTTGGATTGGAGAAATCTAGTAATGCAAGGCCTCCTGTTGATCCAAATTTGGAATTGTCAAATGTGAACAGGGTAAGGAAAGGCGAGAAGAAGATGCAAGAGAAAGTTTCAATCACTGGTGTGTCTTTGCTCGACGGTAAAATTGAACATAGGAGCAAGATGATGCAAAAAGAGTGGAATTGGTTAAAGGCTGGAAATTTGAATTCTCCGGCTAAGAAAAAGGGTCTCAAAATCAAGGGTTCAGAAGCGCAAACGGTGCCACTTTTAGTGGAATTAATGGAGAGACATGATGCGGATAGGGCTGCTCAGTGCAAGTAACGAGGGCCTTTTATGTTTTGGTGGTGGAGTGAAGAATTGCTTGTTGTTGCCAGGTCATCTTCCAGGGCTTAAGTTGTTGTCTACAGTGGAGTTTAAAGAAGCATGAAGGATTGATCGAAGCGTTTTGCCTGGCTTGTGGGGATTTTTTGTTTCAAGTTTGTTTGTTATCAACTTTTGATATACTGAGTTTTGTGTCCATTAGAAGCTGTGAGTATATCTGTTTTGAACTCTTTTTTATACGAGGTTTCTTTTGTAACTATTGTGAGAATTTGTGTTTTGAATTTATTTTGAAAAAATGTGTGGTTAAGTTTATCAGTTACTTGTTATGATTTTTGTTGTGATAAGGTTGAGTATCTCTTTTATTGTATTAATAATTTTTTGGTCAAAGCCCCTATTTGCACCCTCAACTTATGTCATTTCCGCGGTCAACACCCTATCAAATTTTTCCTCCCTATTTGCACCCTCAACTTTTCGAAATCCGTAAAAAACCTAATATTTTAATGAACTGTCACGATAACGTTAATAACCGTTAAAAATTGTAATATGTGGCGTCAAATAGTAACATAAACGTTATGTCACCTTATTAATCTAATGTGGAGTTTTTTTTTATGATGTGGCATAATTAAATCATAATTAATTTTAATTTCTTCATTTTCTTCTTTCTCGGCATCATCTTTACCATCTTCCTCTTCACCCTCCCGGGTTCCTCATGGAACCAGGAACCTAGGACGTTACGTCACATCTATTAATCCAATGTGGGCTTTTTTTTTTTATAATGTGTTATAATTAAATCATAATTCATTTTAATTTCTTTATTTTCTTCTTTCCCGACATCATCTTCACCATCCTCTTGGGTTCCTCACGGAACCAAAGTTCTATGTTCCTCGTGGAATCCAGTTTCACATGAATGCCTACCAAGCTAAGATCTTCATCCACACAATTATAAGTAAATGAATACTGCACAAGAACATGATATGCATCTTCCTCCCTTTTCCCACAAAAAATGAAAAAATCGTTATTGCCATTCATATTAATCCCACTTGAACTCAAATTGATGACCTGTTTAGAAACAATCTCCAAGCAAAAAAACTCACATTTCCAACAAAAAAAATTATTCCAAATTGCTTTGCATAAAATAAAAAACTAAGATAAATACATTTAAAATAAAAAATGAAAAAAAAAAGGTCAAAACCCAGAATCTAGGTTCCCTGCGCAAGAACCCAGAATCTAGGTTCCCAGCGAAGAACCCACACCTGGGTTCTGCGCGAGGACCCAAGAACTGGGTTTTGCGCAACCCAAAATCTGGGTTCCTCGTGAGGAACCCACATCTGGGTTCCGTGGAACCCATTGAGGAGGAGAAGAGGATGGTGAAGATGGAGGATGGTGAAGATGATGCCGAGGATGAGGGGGAAAGAAAATGATGAAGAAATGCCACATCATTAAAAAAAAAAAATTCACATTGAATTAATAAAGTGACTTAACATTCATGTTACTCTTTGGTGCCACATATTACAATTTTTTGTTGGTTTCATTATACACGTGGCATTTATTTATGTAAAAAATTATGCCATGTCATTAAAAAAGAGTCCAACGTTGGATTACTAACGTCATATAGTGCCACGTCAATTTTTGGGTGCCACGTAATGCCTTTTTTAACGGTATTGTGACCGCCCGTTAAAATATTAGATTTTTTACGGATTTTGACAAGTTGAGGGTGCGAATAGGGAGGAAAAATTCAATAGGGTGTTGACCGCGGAAATGACATAAGTTGAGGGTGCAAATAGGGGCTTTGGCCTAATTTTTTTTGTTGATAAAAAAATTATTATTTTTTGCCTATACCCTTATCATTATTTAACCTTATCAATAAGAAAAGGTAAGGGTTACAGGCAATACTACAAAACCTTAGGGTATAAAAACATCAAATGAACTATAAACTTATTGAGAAATTTAAAAATTAAATAAATATTATAGTTGAATCTAATTATATATAAATCTAGTTCTAACAATAAAATTACAACTCAGCATAATACACCTAGACGAATGGAAGAAAAGCATTTGTTGAGATACCTTGTTGGTCAATGCATTTAAGGGGATACAATGAACACCAATGGTCCAATACCCTTTCATGCTTTGAACCTCCACTGATTTGATAACGCAGAGAAAAATAAAAAAATGCAGCGATAACATCCGCACAAATCATGTCTCCAAAAAGATGAACTCTCACAAAAGCCAATATTCAGGAAAGATTGCACCTAAATTTTTTTTTTTAAAAAAAATGAAGAACAAAACAAATGGAAAGTAGACGCGTAATAAAAGTATACTGACAATTGTGCATGCGGGAAGAATGGCTGTATCGATTCGATACAAATAAGATTTAAGTTATCGGCAATACTTTAGCGTGGGTGGTTCCCACAAATTTAGAATAATATCACATACAAAGAAACGAGAAAAAGTTTGAGCAAAACATAAGATAGTGGCCAAGTACTTAAGCAATCTAGAGGCCGAGATAACAATAGGCTCCTTCATGAAGGATCTCAAATCCGAGACTGTATCTAGGATTTGCATTTGAGGAAGGCATTCGGATGCTAATGAAATATTTATACACTGGAGGGAAGGCTTAGATTTTATGTGTATACAGGTATGAGTACCTTTTCTATTCAATAAATAAGATTTTATATTTCGCTTTTTAAAGAAAAAAAAAAAAAAAAGGTTTGCCACTGAACATAGATGAAACCATTTTCAGTAGTTTCTCCCGTTCTACTGGGGACTTTACATTACAAACTGAACCAGTGGCTTGAAAACCCTTCGTCTTCTATTCATGTAAGCATTGATTCGTTTCAAGAGCAAGTGTGCACAGTTGGCCTGAGTCCGGTCGACTCCTCCGCGCCTAATAAAATATAGATAATTGGATTAATTAGATCATGTATCAACTTAAGAAAGTAGTAAAAAAAATTAAGGTAAAAGAGAGAAGCCAGACAATCCGATTCCTTTGGTTCCACGGGTGACAAGAGCAGTCATTCCTTTGAAGACTCCATCTACCACTATTTCCTTTAGCCATTATCTCCTCCAATATGTGCTTTGCTCAAGAGAAGGACTAAATTGATAAGATACAAAGTTCTTCATGCTTTGAATGTATTTACTATTTAGTTCTCATAACATATTGAGTGTCATTATAGTTCAGATCTAAGGCTTTTAATTTCAGAGGAAAGGAGACTGCATTGCTTCTTCCCTAATTTTAATTATTGTTTTTTTTTTTTCCTTTCTCTTGGTTTTCTTTTCTATATTTCCATAATTTAATTTTCTAAATATAATGTGGCTTTAATATCAAGTAGAAAAATTAAGAAATGTTAAAAAAAAATAGGAAAAAAAAAAGATGTATTATTGATAATATTTTGTAATTTAAACATATATAAATAACATGTCTTTATGTAAGCATATTAGATAACCCATTTACCAATAAACTTAAACCCAAAATCAATCTATATATATATCATAGTAACCCAAATCCAACTATAATCCCTATTACCATAATTCAAATAATTGTTTTTGGACCCGACCCGGTGGTTGACCCGTTCTGGCCACCGGGTCTGGTTTAATCGGTTGAACCAATTCACCGACCGGTCCAACCGGTTGACTAAAAATAGTAAAAAACTTAAAAGGTTGAGCGGAGAGAACAATGACTGGCGAAGGAGAGGCAGATCTGTTCTGTCGGTGGAAGAAGAAGGTGAGCCGCGAAGGGCTGAGATCGGGGCGTTGCCGACGGCTGGGATCGAGGAGGCAGTTGGCCGACGGTGACTTTGCCTGCTCTGTTTCGTTTATCCTGCGTCTGGGTTTTGCTTCTGCACAAACGAAGGGTTTGCTTTCTAGTTTTGTTTCTGCACAGGGCTGGAAGCCGCCGACGAAGGTGGCTGAGATTGGGCAGGTAAAGGCCGACGGTGGTGACTGGCTGGTGATTGTTTGTCTCTTCCCCTGCTCTGTTTTCTTTTTGATTTTTGGTGGGTTTTCTTTTGCACTGTAATGAGAATGAGATAGAAAACTCGATTGTTTGAGACTTTAGTTTTGTTTTTTTAATTGAATTTATCTTTTAATTTCTAATTTAAATGTGTAATTTTTATTGTAATAACATAAAAAAATAAAATAGGATAGGAAAATTATATTAAAAATAAAAAATTAATTTAATTAACATTAAAAAAGCTTAATTGACAATGTTCAAAAAAAAAAAAAAGCTTAATTGACACAGCCCGACGGGTTTGAGCGGGTTAGGCGGTATGAGCGGGCTTAGCGGGTTGGGCGGGTTTTGGCGGGTTAGAACGGGTTAATTAGAAAAACAGGCCAAGGTATGCAACCGGCCCGTTTTCAGGCCCGAGTCCGGTTCAACCGGCCGGGCCGAGCCGGGTCCAAAAACACTGATTCAAATATTGCTAATGAATATCTCATAATATCTCTTAATATCCTCCTTGAACATATATCTTGAGAATTGGAGGAATCTTGAAGACAGAATATAGAATAACATCTTCACAACCGGTAGTATGG